TCTCTACCCCCCTGCCGCCCCCCCCCTCCTCTCTCCCCCTCCCTTCCTCCCCCCTTTGGCCTCTCTTTGGATCTATATTATTTACCATTTCTTCACCTCCGTCTGTATCTCCGTTGTCATGTTGTTAGCAGCTGCTAACTCCACCGGCTACAGGACCGGTTAAAGGAGTTCAACCTGAATCGAGGCCACCGTGTGTGTTCATTCTGGTTTAACTATCCTCGTTGGGACATTTATTTTTATTTTTTTTTTAAATCTGTTTTAAGGGACCAGATGAGGAGCGTGTCCTCCATGAGTCAGTTAGTCTCAGGTCAAGATTTATGTTGATGTTTATTTATTTATTTATTTTGGGAGGAATTAGAATCAGGGTTACATTGGAGTTAGGGGCAGGGATTAGGATTATAGATCGGATTAGGTGAAGGGGCTTTCAACTGTATTTATTTATATTTTATTTTATTTTACACGTCAGTAAACCATCTCTGCTTTGTTGTTGTTGTTGATTTGTAATTTTATATGTGAGGATAAAGCAGAGACACTGGACACCGGGGTCGACCTCTCTCTCTCTCTCTCTCCCTCTCTCTCTCTCTCTTCTAAGTGTGTGTTGTTGTTGTTTTTGTTTGGGTGGCCCCTTCTCTCTCTCTCTCTCTCTCACCCTCTCTCTCGCCCCTCTCTGTGTCAGTGTATAAGTGAATTATTCAGGGAGGCGTCTAGTAAACTTGCTGATTGTATTAAGCTCTGCTCTTACACGCCGGTGGCACAGACATTACGTGTCCTGTTTAATGGTGAAACAGCGATATGATTTAATAACATATTCCTCCTACACTCGGAGCCGCGGCCTCTCTCTCTCTCTCCCTCTCTCTCTCCCTCTCTCTCCCCTCTCCTTGAGACTATTCCTCAGAGTAAATAATTAGGATTCCAGCTTGTCTTCCAGAAAGATAAATGGCTGACATGTGTGACGTGCTGAGAGCTGGAGAAGGGCTGCTCGGTCTAATCTGCTGTTGTTACTTTAAGGCTGAAATGATAGTGAAACATCAACGGAATCAACTGAAAGAAACAAATGTAACAAATATATGAGAAAAAATACAATAAGAAGTATTTACGACTGAGTGTTATGTTAAAAACACTGCACAAAGAAACTGCATGGCTTGTTCGTTTGCTGTTGTTTATATATATATATATATATAGTATTTATAAATATATTTGTACATTTATTTTATTTTTAACCAACAATTTATTTCCTTATTTAGCAGTATTGTTTATTGTTTACTCGCGTAAATCAAATCACGGATTTATTTTTATTTATTTCTCAAATACATTAATCACAGTTAGTGATCTGTTGTTTGTTTTGTTTTGTTTTTTCGTTTTTATTTATTTTTTTTTGTTTTTATTTTTTATGTCACAGACCATAATATTATTATTCCTCGCTCGTCTTTGTTTTTTTTTTAACTCGTTTCAATTTCGACGTCGTTCGAATCCGAGCCGTGAAACGATTGTTGTGACGTGAAGTCTTCAGTTGGACAGATGTCTCCGTGACCGGTGACGCAGCTCGACGCCAGACACTGACTTTTAACGTGGAGAACGAACACAGCGGCGTCTGTTCCCACTGCAGCTCCATTAAACACCACTCGGTTAATTGCGAACTCGCAGCTGACTGTGGAGTTCGGGAAGCTGTGCTCGTGCACCCAGGGGCTCAGCAGGGGTCTCACCCCTGCCTCACCCCCCATGCCTCCCCATCCTGGAACTCCATACTATTTTTAATTTATCTCCACGGAGCACAAATGGATGCCATGTGCTGCTGCAAGCCGCGGCCTCGCGCGGACCCGGACCCAGATCCAGGCCGAGGCCGGCGGGGGGGGGGGGGGGGAGGGCGGCCCGGAGGGGCGGCTGTTGCGGGTGTCGTTGGGCGGGCGGCCGGTGGTGCTGGTGCTGGTCCTCCATTTCTTTCTTTTTTTTTTTTTAAACCTGGTTTTGTCCCTTAAGGGGTCGTGATAGAGCACTCTGACCCTGATGGATCACTGAGACGTGAAGCTTCTTTATCAGTCAGTGAGCTCTGCTGCCTGTAAGGAAGAATCCTCAGCTCAATTATTTTTATCTTTCTTTTTTTTAGATTAAATATAGAGTAAATTTCAATCGATTAAACGAATAAAAATGTTGTTAAAATCGTCACCGCGTGGATCCCGTCTCCAACCAATCACCGCCGGCCCCTACATTTGAACAAAAATAATAATAGTAAAATAATACTAATAACAACAACAACGATAAAATATTAATATAATAATAACAACAACAAAACAAGAAAAATAAATTAAATTGTATTTTTTTCCCATCTGAATCGAATTAACCGATAAATCGTCGGTATAAAAACCGTTTTAAAGAGTTCAGTGACGCAATAATTGAGCTACGATTTGGCTGAAGAGTTTGATGAAATCATAACAATAAAAAAAACCCGTGTTGACATAAGGAGCCGTGAACAGCAGTGAGTTCTTCATGAGGCTGAAACCAGCAGCAGGGTGAGGGAGTGGGTGAGGGAGTGGGTGAGGGAGTGGGTGAGGGAGTGGGTGAGGGAACAGCCGTGCACACAGAACACACTAAATCATAGGTGGGAGGCAGAGGTTGACAGAAATGGGCTACACCTACATCAGTCACAGCAGCCGAGGACACGCAACACGGCGGCCACACAGTCACGGCGAAACACGTCACGGCACCGGCGTGAAGAAGAGCAGACACGGCGCATGTGTGTGTGTGTTTTCGTGTGTTTTCGTGTGTTTGTGTGTGTGGTGAAGCTTAATTTAAATAGTAAAGTTAAAAAAAAAGTGAATTTATGAAGTAAAATATATCCAGAATTTTTTTTTAAATCACATGAAATGAAAAATAATCCTCATCCGTTTGGCTTCATTCGTGTTACTACCAGTGTCATAACTATTGTTATTACTGTTGTTATTACTATTGCAGATATTTCTTGTTATGTTGGTAATAAATCAGTGACTCATGTTTAGTTACATGTCTGTGAATTTAAGGACACATTAATAGAGCAGTTACACTGAGTGCTCAGTTTGCCCTCCTTGCCCCCCCCCTCCACCACCCCCCCACCCCAACTAGAGCATCTGCAGGCTGAGCACTGTGCTGAGAGGGGAGGGGGGGAGGGCAAAGGGAGGGGTGAGGAAAGAAAAGCAGTGGTTTCTATTCATGTCATGGCGCCTTTCATGGGAGGAAGATGGATTTATCGCTCTCATTTCTTTATTCTGCCTCTCCCTAACCTTTCAGGTCAGATTGCAAGGGACCGTTGGAGAGACAGCGTCACGTGACCCCCGGTACCAAATGGTCTTCCGGCAGCGGTTGTCAACAAGGACCGGAGCACTGCAAGCAGACGTCACCGCCGCCGCCGCCGCCACCTCCACCACCTCCTCCCTCAGACATGCAGAAGACCACGTACTACGACAACTCCTCCACGCTCTTCGGTGGCTACTCGTCCTACCAGGTGCAGGGGGCGGCAGCGGCCGCCGCCGCCGCCAACGGCTTTGGGGGCTACGATGCCCCGGTCCCAGTGTCCCACCACCAGCCGGCCTTCCAGTCTGCCACCCATCTGGATGTGGAGTCGTACCAGCGCTCTGCCTGCTCTCTGCAGTCGCTGGGCAGCAGCAGTGGCCACCAGCAGCAGCAGCAGCAGCAGCAGCAGCAGCAGCAGCAGCAGCAGCTAGCCAAGACCAAGGAGCTGAATGGCAGCTGCATGAGGCCCAGTCTGCCACCTGAGCACCACCCCAGCTCCCAAGTGTCCCCTCCACTGCCCCCAAGTTCCAACTCTGGTGGTAATACGGGGACTCAGCAGCCAGGGGGCAGCAACGGGGCCTCCTCGGCCTCTAAATCTGCCCCAGCTAAGTCATCCAATACCTCCTCCTCGACATCCTCGTCTTCCTCCTCCTCACTGCCCCCCAACCCAGCCTTGGCCAAGCAGATCTTTCCCTGGATGAAAGAGTCCCGGCAGACGACCAAGCAGAAAAACTGTTCACCCAGCAACAACTCTGGCAACGGTGTGTTCCACTACACCTGTCACTGTCTGTCTCTCTGTCTGCCT